TGGGTTAAGAACACTTTGAAAGTTCCCGGAAAATACTCTTAGGATAAAGGAAAGTGGCATTCAAAACAATCTCAAGTAGCATCAAGTATAAGTGATTTTTCTTGTTTGCCAATGTGTTAGATGAAATATTTTCAATCACTGTTTTAATGGTTATTTCCTTGAGTACCAATGAGGTCGACCATTATTTCACATATTTATTAATGAGTTATTTCTTCTTTGGGAAGTGTTGTTTGACTATTTCTCACTTGGTATTTAGTATTTATATCAAATAGGTTTGGTATATTGTATTTGTTGCAAATAATATCATATCTACTTTTATTAATTTTTAATCTAGGGAAATTTTTTGGTATAATCTAAACTACTAGGCATTTTCTTTGTAATTTCTTCTAGCATAAGTTTCAGAACTATAATTGACGTCTTTCAACTTTGTCTATATTTTTGTGTTATATTTTATTTTTATTTATCCCCATTATACATTTGGAATTCCTATTATAGCTAATGAAACATATTTTATTCCCCAAAGCTAGACAATTATCTCAATAATTATTAAACCATTGCTTTTTGCATTCATTTGTGGTTCTGATTTTATTATGCAATGAATTTGGGTTCCCTTTCTCTGTGTCCACAGAGTCCTATGCCTGTTTACATCAATTTCTACTGTAATGGACAATGGCCATTAATTTTCTCCCTCCAAATTTAATGGGAGGGGACAGAATTGTGCTGTCCCTTTGATAACTAGCACAGTGCTTGGCATGTGACAGGCATTATATATCTGTTGAATGATGAATGCATAAAATGATATTTTTCTGGCAAACCCATATTTTCTCACTAATTACATCCATTCCAGAATCATTTCTGCACTGTGGTGAATGTTGTGTCACAATAATACATTTTATCATTAGAGTCAAACCTCTTATTAATATTCACTTTCAGAATATTCTTTTGGAACCACGACTTATTCTTCAAATGAACTTCAGAAAATTTCAACAGCCTCTAAAATTGGTCCCATTAGAATTTTTGTTTGAATTATGTTAAAATATAAATTAAGTTTTGGAAGAATCGATATTTGTATTGTAAATACCTTCCCACTCACATACGTGTTACAGCTCCTTATTTCCCTTTACAGCTTTCAATAATTTTCTTTACAGAGTCATTCATAATCCTTTTATTGATTTTCTTGTTACTGCTGTAGTGATTCAGATTATTATTGCTTCTGCTGGGATTTGTATTCATTTATTTTGAAAAACTTACTTTCTATTTGTTGCAATTATACAAAAAAGTTACTGTTGCATATTTACCTTACATTCTGGGACTTTGCTTGAATTATTTCATTAATTCTAGTAGAGAAATTTCATAGTTGAACTAAAGACCACGCATAATGGTTGAGCATAATGTCACTTCAGCTAAATTCTATTTTGTCTTTACAATTAGGAGTGGGAATTGGGTAACAAAAATATGATTCTAAAAATTTGCTTTTGGAGATTGCATGGAACTTTTGCACCTGTGTTAGAGACAGTTGATTATATTAGCTTCTAGTAACTTCATGCAAATAATCTGAGCAGGCATTTAAATGGGGGAACTTTTAGGGGACAAACGTGGAGGTTTTTCAGAACCCATGACTACCTCCATATTGCATAATTCCCCGACTTACGAGGTATGTTCCCTCTCCGACCTCTTCTGAACTCCAAGCTTCTCAGCTCCAGGCTTTGGCATAATATCCCAAAACTCTTACTGAGGGGACCTTTGGCTTGGAGGCACGCAGGTTATTTTGGTTCAAAGTAAGACATCTGAAGCCTAGGTTTCTTCCATGGGGTAATGTGAAAAGATAGTCAGCCTTGATGTTAGTGGCATCCTCTTTACACACTCTCTGAAGCAGGAGAGACCTGTGTCTTTCAGGACCACAGAGGGAATGAGCCCAAGGACCACAGAATGCACCAACTACATCACATGAGGTGGAAACCCAATGGGGCCACTTCAATTTCCTTTTTGTTTGTGACATTCTAATCCTAAATAGTAATGCTCGATTCAACCTAACATCCATTTAAATTTATATCATTTTAAGTAGAATTCTATTTAAAATAGATTTTTTAAAAAACTTTTATGTCCTGATTAATGCAGTATCCTCTTTGGTCATTTATTGTGAAGGTAATGATGAGTGTTAAATGAGGCTTTTTGTTTGCATTAACTCTGTGGGATGTTTGTCTGAGGTGACCAGGCACTTCAGTAGGTTTGAGTAAATATTGGTTCTTGCTATATAATGGGAGCTGACAAGTGACAAACACCATAATGGGGACAAAATGAGTGTGAAAGACAGTTCTTTTCCATTGATCTTTCTGCATCATAAACATTTGTTCTTTGGATTTGCACAGTTATTCTTTTTATATTCAATATATTTACTCATCATCTTATGAGGGGTTGCCCTTCCTCTGTATGCTTAACTTACATTTTTAAGAATTATTCAATGGCTTGTTTGGACACTGTGGACCATAGGAGAGTCTGTTGACCTCTGGACATTGTATCTGTAAGGCAATCTCATCACCTTTGCAGATGTCTGACACCTCAAAGTAGCAAGAGGGACATACAGTCTCTTGTGGTGATAAGGATAGGACATTTCCATGTGTTCTACATACAACAGGTTAAGCTTTGGTTGGATTTTAAAAATATAAGGGATAAATTATGGCTTGTATTAAGTGTAGAATAAAGTTACTCCTTCATATACCTCATGACCAGGACTAATTAGACCCAAGTGTCTTTTGCAAAGTCTGTCTGAATAAAAGCTCAAAATAGCAAACTTAAGACTTTCTACGTAACTTGTGTATTTCATGTTTTGTAATCAATTGATGGTTTACATTTTTTTTAGTTGTAATTGGGTGACTAGTTTTATGTTTTTTCTTATTATAAAACTTTTCTTTTCTAATATTTATTTTAAAAGTAACTTTGGTTATACCAGACTCAACACATGAGAAATGGTAGGAGAAATTTAGATGAAGTATTTTGTTTTCCCCAAATGAAATTAGATCTGATGTGATTTATAGCTCACTTGTTATAGTTTCCTCTTTCTAAATTAAAAAACATATACAGTTAACCATCATATCTGTGGGCTCCACATCCTTCAATGAACTGCAAATCAAAAATATTTTTAAAAATTGTGTCTATGATGAACACACACAAACTTGTTTCTTGTCACTATTCCTTAAACACTATATTATGGTGGCTATTTACACAGCATTTATATTATATTAGGTGTATTACAAATAATCTAGAGGTAATTTAAAGTATAGGGAAGATATGACTATGTTATATGAAATACTAGGCCTCTTTATATAAGGAATTTGAACTTTTGCAGATTTCAATATCTGTATGAGATCCTGGAACAGTTCTCTCAGAGATACTGAGAGACAACTATAGAATTGAGAGAATGATGTGATAAGATAAAGGAGAAAGATCTGATGCAATATTTATTTTTATATGTGATAGGAGGAAAATGTGTTTTGAATAAAGTACAGTAGTATTTTATAAAATAGTATAGTACTTTATTCAGTAAGTTATTATTCCCTTTTGACAGATACAATGAAATTTTTGTAATTGATAATAAAATTATAATTTGGAAATTATAATTTCTGACAACAGAAGTAGGAAAAAAGCCCCATGTATTATGTTTAATACTCTTTTTGCATGCCATATGGTAAAAAATGTTTTGATAAACAACATGGCAGAGTGATAAAATGCCCAAACTCTGGGCCCAGATATTGGATTCAAATTCACGTACTGACATTTAAACCAACTGTGAGATTCTGACTGAGCTATTTCATATTTCTTGGCCAAATTCTTTACCTGCAAATGGTTGTGTTGGAGATTCCAAGCCCACCCTCAGTTTAATGGTTTGCTAGAAGACACAGAAAAACTGTATAACCATAGTTATGTTTTATAATAGTAAAAGGATACAGACTAAAATCAACAAAGGGAACAGGCTCATGAAGAAAATCCAAGAACCAATTTCCAGGTATTCCTGTCAGTGGAGTCCCATGCTTAAAGTTCCTAGCACACACACACACACACACACACACACACAAAGTATAACATGTTAATAAGCAAGGGAAGCTTTTAGAACTTTGGTTTTTAGACTTCTATTGGGAATTAGTCACATAAATGTGTAGCATTGGGCAACTGACCTCAACTATACAGACTCCAGCAACCCTTGCCTTCAAGCAAAACCAGGTGTTCACTATAAATCACATTTTATAGTAAATTTAGCTGGTTGGATTGAAACAGCGTAGCGGCAGGCCTCATGCATACAAAAACATTCTTTTTTTTTTTTTGGAGTTTAAATGAACATTTATTTCACCATTCTTTAAGTGGCTGTGCACAAGAACAACCCGCCGGACTATCCGACCCACGGGCCCTTCTGGACCCCTATTGAAGGACCCAGAATGTCCAGGCAGGTCCTGCCCCAATCAATCCAATTACAGACACCCGCAGCTCGATCGCTCTAGAAGCCAAGATCAAAACATTTTAAATAATGAACAGCCTGGTTGGCTTGAAAAACATTCTTAACCACTCAGACTATTCCAAGAGCTCAGAGTTATCTCCCAGGAACCAGCAGAGGCCCACCCTGGAGAGTTGCCTTTCTATGGAATGTGCAGGGTTTGAGCAATGCAGACTGGCTGCATTAACCCTTTCTTGCCCAGGGGTTATGAGGATAAACAAGTTAATCCCGTAACTTAGAAAAGCATTTGGCAACAGAAGAGAGCTTGGCACTTGTGAGCCGTATGTAAGGGGCAGCTATAATTCCTTCTAGTGGATCTCTGTGAACTGAATGAGGCAGATTAATTGGAAATAGACAGTTGGGTTCTATGGATCTTGTGATGATGAAAAGTCCCCAAGTTTGTAATGAAACTGGAAGCATAAGCGTATTAAATGTGATATCCATGGGTGCTTTAGAAAGAGAAGTTTCCTGTAAAATGCTAAAACGTAAAATTTTGTTCTCTTGTCCTTTGCAGAGCCCTGAACCCAGCAAAACCGTAGTCAGAGAGGAGAGCTGTTGAGGAATACAACATACATAAGGTACAGAAGTCATTCTCAATAATTGACACATAAGACTCATTTAAATTGACGATTAATTCAAGCTTATTACTCTATTATTAACCAAATATTTTACAGTAATGCCAGCTTGGTGTCTTAGAATATGTGGGACTGTGTGTTATAGGTAGTTAACCATATCCTAAAGAGAAATTGGTTTCTACAGCTACATCACACCAATTTTGAAGGTTGTGGTTGAACTAGGCCTAGACAGAAATGTGAAGGAATCAAATTGCTATTATCACTTTTTTTTAGCATTTCATTTTGTTTTAATTTACCTACAATCATTACTCAGGGAAAGTAATTTCAACAAACATATTTACTTGACCATGACCCCTTAATATTAATACTATATTTAATTTATTATTATTATTTAATATTTTTTGTTCTTTTTAGCTATACAGGATAGTAGAATGTATTTTGGCAAACTGTACATATAGAGAGTATAGCATTCTATTTAGGATCCCACTCTTGTGGTTGTACATGATGTGGAGTTACCCTGGTTGTGTATTGAAATACAAGGCTAGGAAGGTTATGTCCAATTAATTTCACTGTCTTTCCTATTTCCCTTCTCTATCCCCCCCCCCACCCCGTTCATTTCCCTTTCTCCAATCCAATGGATTTCTATATTCCCCTCCACAACCTCCCTTGTTTTGGGTTAGCATCCACAAATCAGAGAACATTCACCCCCCCCCCCCTTTTTTTAAGTACGCATCTATTAAAGGTCTGTTACATGGGAAACTCATCTATGAAGTGATTTCACATAATTGGGCAAAACAGTCACAGTCCAGTCTAGCCTTCATGGTGCCTAAACTCAGTGAAGGAGACATTAAGTGATCAAATGACTATATATGATTGAAAGCTGTGATAAATGCTATTAAAGAAGTGCAAAGAAAAAGTATAGAATTCTATGGGAGAATATACAGGGAAAGAAAGGAAGAGTCCGGGGGATTGTGTAAACAGTGTACCTCTTTAGAAGATGACTTTTAAACTAAGGTCTAAATTGTGAGGATAAGGCAAATGGGACAACAATGAATAAAAAAATAATTAAAAATAGGAAGTAAGAAAAAATTGAAAGTAGAGTAGTGTGGTGGCTATAGCTCAATCACAGAAATAGAAGCTGGGTTGAGTATAGGAAGTAACCCAGTCCCACAAAGCCTTCATGTTCAGGTAAGGTGTCCCAGGCCCACCCTGCTTGGCCACTTCTTGCCCTTGGCAATTTTGTGTGATGTCACTTGTCTTCTTTTTTGATCTCCTGAATAGAGATGATTTCAAACCTGTCACCCCACTAGGCACTACCCTACTGCATCTCCTGGCAAAGTTGTATAGTAAAAAGAAAAACAAGAAAAATGGTGTAGCATGTTGTGTGTGTGTGTACACCTTTATTTCACATGGTACTTCCCAAAACTATTTTCAGAATTATATTAGAAATTATTTTGAAAGATTCTCTCTTGAAAATATGCATTTTTAAAAGGTTCCTTTTGCTCCTGAGACTGGTCTGCTATTAGGTAATGTGGCCTATTTCATGTCTATGCACATTAAACTGTATTAGATAATTTCCTAGAATCAAGATAATTCAAGTCAGGGAAAGAAAAATCTGTTTGCCTTGGTGGTTTAGCTTCTTCTAGCAGGGGGATTTTTCTTGACCTGAGTTATATACTTAATTGCTTCAAGCCCTAATTATATTTTGCATGTGAAAATATATCCTTAGGTCCCAATATAAAGGTCTGTAGTAAGAACTTAATAAATAAATTTTAATATCAGCTTACTCATATTGGTTTTCTTAAGTCAGACACAGAGTAAAATCACAAAAAACCTGTGTTTGCCTTTCAGCTAATCTGGCTCATATTTCTGTCCATCAAAAATGCTTTTTATTCTTGATTTATAAAATTCTTATAAAGTAAGGCAAATGACCTGGGGGTATTGCCTACTTAAGTACTTTAAAGAATGGGTTGATATTGTATGAAATATGGAGATTTTGGTACTTTCAGCAAGGAAAGTCCTGAGAACCTAGAGTATTAAACTGACTTATGCTTATTCCAGAAGAGAGGATTTCAGTGTGCATATTAGAAGGGGCATCCACTTTCTTAGACCAATTCAATATCTTTCAGTTAAGTTAACTATTATTTCAAAAGAAGAAAAATTCCCCAGGATTTGAAAACTTTGAAATCCAAAGCCTTGTTTTATTCCCAGGAAGACAAGAGACAGATGTCTTTTAATTACTACTCTTGCTTTTTGCCTCTCTACCAGCGATATGTCTCAAATTTGGAATCTAATTAGAAATCTTAATTGAAATGACTTTTACAAAAAGGAAAGAATAAGGATCAACATGGAAACATAAAAGTAGGGAGAAAAACACAAATGTAATATTCCAACCAAATTGAATAATCACCTCTCTGAAATTGAGTTGGCCTTTTGGGGAACATGGTATTGGCTCCACATTGAAACTTGACTGTTTCCTCTTTCAAGAGGAATTTTTCAACCAAATGAAGAATCTTTCAATGTCTATACATTAATTTCAAATATTATATTTTTCTCACTGTAAAAACGATGTTTTTAATATTTTGAAGCCTGGGTTCAATGCCCAGCTCTCTGATTGATTCTCTGTGTGATCTTGGATAGATTTTTTGCAACTATTTTCAAACTCCTAATGTACCCATCTCTAAAACTGTGTTTTCAACATTTCTATCTTGTTTCTCTCTTGGTTTTACACACTGACTGGTATGTAAGAGCAGGTGTAGGTATATAATATTAAGTTCTAGAAAGGAAAGTAAAAGAAAAGAATATTAAGTTTGAGAATATATATTATTATATGTAGCACAGAATATTTCAAATAAAAATATTGGGAAAGTGCTTATCGGTCCTATACACTGGAGGCAAAGACTCAAAGGCCGGTTGATTCATCCTTTTATTCAAACTATTTCTTGTAGATGTTCTGGATCCTGCCATTCAGATTGTAAAGTCTACTTAGAGGCAATATTACCTATTTCTGAGTTAAGTGCAGCCCTTTTCATGGTACCAGGTAGGATAGATGATCAATTACGTTCTGACAGGTTGAATGAAGCCATGCACTAATGGGGCCAGAACCCAGATTGCCCCATCTCCAGTTTATGAACACCAGGTCTCACATCAGAGCACGAGCATTTGCCTTCCTGTGGATTGTGTCCTTCATCCACTTCTTGCTGCTGCTCCATGCTCTCTGCTTCCATCAGATTCGCCCCTTTCCCAGTATTTGTGTACATTCCACAGGCTGAGCTTTGAGTCTTTGCTTGCATGCACGATATTCTTCTTTTGCATTTTTCTTTTCTTCCCTATTGCCTTTCTCATTATTCTTTCCTTTTTTTTGACAGCTCATTTTTCTCTCTTCTCCCTTTCTTTTATTTGTCCTCAATGTTTATATAAAAATGTCTTTAAGTTCAGATCTGATATCATGTCTTCTGTGAAGCTGTCCTGCGCATCTCCTAGGAGACTATCTTGCTGCCTTTCCTTTGTGTTCTGGTTTATTTGTTTGCAGGCCCTGTCCTTGTTCCCTGTTGGTGAAAACTGAGTCTGAGGAAGCCAGGGAAAGCCAAGGCAAATAATGTGTGAACAGCTCTTACTTTTCATTCTCTGCTCCATCCTGCTTCCCTTTATGAGCAAAGGAGAGGGCCTCCAGCTCAGTTAGTGGCTTGCTTTCACACTGAAGTCTGCATTAGTAGTAGCATCCTACCCTTCAGGTCATGAGCACCAGCATGCAAAAGCTCTGGGCTGCAGTCACAATTGCCTGAGTCAAGATGGCTTTCTGGATGGGTCCTCAGAGTCAGGAGCCAGGCTGTATAGTCCAGTGGCCTAGGAGCCCTGGCTGCCAGGACACTGGCCTGCATCTCTCTCCCTGTGCCATGCCTGCACCTCTGAATCCCTCTCTGATTATTGGATGCACATATGATGTTGAGAACTACCCTCCACAGCAGCCCACTCAAGTGCTTCCCCACTCCCTGTCCCAACCCCTTGGGGGTGCCCCTTACTTACTAATGCATAGAGAGATCAAACTGGAGTGGATCAGTTAAATCTTGGTGTTAGGGACTCTCCACTTCTTCACAGATGTGCCACCATTTCTTTTGCACATTATCCTTCTTGACTCCCTTATTCAGTGGATTTCCATTTCCTCTTTTCATGTTCCTACATTTCTCTTCATTGAATTCACATCGTACTTCCCAGTCACCTGGTCATATTACTAATAGAATTAAATCAACAATGCTGTTATGTTTACTGACCATTTCTAAAATATCATTGGTTTTTATTCACTCTGTGAAATTTTATGTAAGGTAAAATGAACACTTTTTGGTGTCATGGTCTTTGATTTTGACAAAGATACAATTAATTATGTAACCACAGTCACAATCAAGATTCAGAGCTCTTGCATTGGACCAGAAACTTTCCTCCCATTGTCCCTTTATGGTCAGCCTTTTCTGCAGACTGCAACCCCTAAGAATCCACTGATCTGTTTTTATCCTGGTAATTATGCCTTTTCCATTTATGCCATATAAATGGAATCATACAGTATAGAGCCTTCTGAGGTCACCCCCTTTCACCTATCCTATTGTGCTTGAAGTTTGCCCATGATGTTGTAGTTAACAGTGTTTATTCCTTTCTATTGCTAAGTAGTATTTCATCTTACAGATTTATCACTGTATGTGTGTGTGTACATGTACCATTTGTGGAGAGCACACTGTGGTTACTCCATGGTGTATAGAGCAGCAGTTTTCAGGCTGTGCCTAAACCTGGCTCACTCCATTTTATAAAGCAATGGTTTGCCATATGCTGTTTCATTTTGAGTTTACATGCTGAGGTGGAATGACTTTCCACCTTGTTTGTACAAGTAAACAGCCACCATCTGCCTGGCTCAACCATAAAGCACACACTGATAAATAAATTAATCTTACTAATAAAAACAACCACCTGTGAACTTATCAAATTAATCAGAAGCACATGAATACATGTTCTTT